CCTCTTTTTATTATTATTCTTTCATTCGGTTAACTTAACCAAAATTAAATTTTTCTTATTTAAATTGTTTTTAATTATATAGATATGTAATAATTATAATAATTTTGTAATTAAATCTATAATAAATTTTTTGATAAATCTATATAACTAAAAAAATATTTCTGACATTTAAATTAGTCTCCATGACTATTAAAACCTGTGACATTCCTCCGCCTGATCTTATTTATGGTCAAGAACTATTCGATCCAACTTACTTATTATTGAAATTTTACTATATAAACGAAATTTAAAATTTATAGGCCTACATCCTGATAGAAAATTTAAAATTCTATCGAATATTCCCTATAAAAATTTTTGAATAAACGATGGTTTTTATTATGAAAATCTTTGACGTGTGATCAATTTTCTAAATAAATTTATAGGAATTCTTGTGACGAACCTTTTTAAAGTAGAGTCTTAGTTCGTTGCGTTTGAATAACGCTTGAGACCTGCTGCCTATCTGGATATCGATATATCCACGAATACAATGACCTAAATTGAATAACGATATTAACGTCAACGAAGTTTATATTTCCGTTATTATAAGAGATATATTATTTTAATAAATAAAATCTTATTTCATTCTCACTAATCTCTGCTTGATGGAAAATAGCACTTTATTTCCTCAATTAATTTAAAATGTTTGTTGATAATGCTAATATCTTGCTGCTGTGTTAAAGTTCCTGGATTATTAGTAGCTGTAAATGATAATGAATTTAAACTTTTAGATATTTTTAGGAAAGTATTTTTTACTTTAAGAAGTATGTTATAATTATAATTACCTGATTGACTGGCACGACATGACCAATTGATTTTATGTACAAAATGTCTATTAAGCTTAATTTGGAATAATTTGAATAATTATACTTTCATATAAAGGGATAGAATTGATTATAAACGCGACACAAGCTTTTTTTTCAATTGTAATTTTTTTTAAATATACAAAAAAATGCAACAAAAAACTATGTTAAGTATATTTTTTGGTATTAATCTTTGGAAAATGTCATTTACTACCATGGCGGTTTAAATGTTTGTATTTCTCTGTTTTTTTTTTAGGGTAAAAAAGAGTGGCTTTTTATGTAAAAGAACATTAGAAATGTGTCTAACATTCTTAAATCTTAAAAAAAGATCCATTTAGTAGGTAAAAGCAAGATGATGTCATTATGTAAAATGTTAGTTATTTTTTTAGGGATAAGATGGAACCTTCAGGCTGACGTTTATTACGTTAGTGATGTAAGTGTATTCTTATAAAATTACTGAAATTATATCATAAAAAAAAAAGATTTAAAGAATGTTGGAAAATCTAAATGGAATTTTTAATCGATTTTTTAATTCTTTTAAAATCATTTACTATATTAAGGAGTGTGAACTTTTTTACTTTTTTTTTTTCTTTGTGAAAGATTATTTAAATTGTACAGATGTTCTTTTTTCTTTCATAAATATTTGATAAACCTAATTTTTTTTTGTGTAACGAATTGCCTTAATTACGTTAGACGACGATCCAGACTCCAATTTTAATCTTTTTTCAATTGAAAAATAAAAAATGTTGGAAAAATTCTAACATTTCTCTTTGCTTTTTTTTATAGAAATGGGTTTTCCCTTGACTGCATTTAAAATTTGTGATGTAAGATATAAATGGACTTTCTCTTTGCTTTCTATCCATCTAATATTTCTGGTAAGTTGATTTATATGATGGCGTGTATTAACCCTATTTTTTTTATTACCAACCGGTATCGGTTAATCGGTATTGATGATTACCGAAGCTGATCATATTGAAATCACTGGTTTATTGTAGATCCTAATTTACCACCAAAACGAATGATAAATAATACAGTTTAACAATACAAATGATTGTGATGATAATGAGAAATCATCAATTAAACAGTAAAGGAATCAAAAGAGATGGTATTAATTGGAAATTCGTCTACAAGGAATTCAGACTAGTGTTTCGATCCGGATAAAACCTCAAATATTTTAACGTGGGATTATAATTAAAAAAGGTTACAAATTTCGGCTTTGAGTGGACTATAATTTCGGCCAGAATTAAAATAATATTATTCCATAAATTTTTATTAATTTTGGTGGTCCCAGCCTAAATTAACCGAGCCGGTATCCAAATAAAAACCGGATAAAACCGCTACGGATCGAAACTCTAATTCAGACATAAAATGCGATGCTACCATAGTGGTTGGATTTCAGTTTAATCATATTTAATTATTATTAATAGCGTGTACAAAATCAATTCTATTTATATGGATACACTGTATTTCTTGTATTTATTATTAATATTTTAGTTATATACTTGCAAATATGAGCAGAATTTCACTAATGTTTCTTTATGATATAAAAATATGTCATAAATTTAAATGATGATATTATTGCAATTTAAATTACATTTATATAATGGAAATTTGTAAATTTCAAATGATATATACACTTCATGGAAATTGGACAAGTTTACAACTAATTTCTGTAACATACATTTTAACTAGATTTAATCGAAATTACTGGTAAATCTATATTAAACGTGACATATGTACAAAATTTCTCCGACGTAAATTTACTGCATATCACTCCACTTCGACCAGTGATTAACCAATTTACCATCTTTAGTCAGTAAACTTTACTTACATTCTTTTGATTTTGAGGCGGCTTACAATCATTGGGCGCAATTATCTGAATAATTTGACTCGTTAAATTTAGGTCATTTAGGTCATTTAGGTGCTCAAGTAGTTGTTAATAACTTGTAACAATTATAAAATTTAATAAATATTCCTTAATTCTGTTTAATTAAATAGATGATTATTTATTTATTTATTTATTTTTATAATCAAATTCTTATTTCTTAATAAATAATTTTTGCGCGAAAATATATTACGGATTCGCGCAAATTGCGCACTGCGCAAAATACATTCAGCTTGAATTTCATATGAAAATATTTATCAAAAATGTAAATATATTTCTTAAAGTATAATTTATATTTTTTTCAATAAACTACTTATAATAGTTAGTTTTTACAAAAAATTCTTGGCATGTCTATAAAAGGATTAATCAAATATAGTTAAGCTTCAATGGCGTATAGTTAACGATCGGCACTATTACATATAAATCATATTTAAAATAGACCGTACGATTTTTTTTTTTTTTTTTTTTTAAACAATTTTTTTTTATATAAAAAAGGAATAATTGTTGATATTGTTTCAAAGTTATTAGATAACTCCGAAACTCCGAAAAGATCACAATAATTAAACTCTAAATGTAAATGTGTAATACAAACAAATCAGTTAACGAATTATGTGAGTTGTTGATTTTAATTGGTTGTTAAAATTTTAAGGAACATCTTCACATTTTCGATCACATTTTGCATTACATGTATAAAAAAAAAAAATGAAATTATGATCTACACTTTTCCATAAATAAAATTCACCATTTTAACCTTGCTCGAAAATATTAATAATAATAAAGATAATGACATTTTTAATTACAAAGAAAAAAAAAAAAAACTTGTAAAAAAACGTAAAAGGAGATTAAATTAAAAACATCTTTTTTTTTTTTAATATGAAACATTAGGGATGATACAATTAGAGGGTGAAATAAAAATAACAATAAAAAAATAATAATAAATTAACTGAATTAAACATATATATATTTTTTTTTTGTTAAAAGAGAAATTTGGTTTAGAATTTAGAAACTGCAGGGAAGTTATCTCAGTTTCAGACAATGATATATACTGTACATTGTATTACTTAATCTACTATACCCTGAAATTCCAAAATGTCAAATAAAGTGAAGAAAATCCTTTGGTTTAATTGGTTTATATATTACGGTTTAAATATTACTTACAACCGATCCCATTTTCACATTGAACTAATAAAGAACTTTTTAAAAATTCTAATTTTATTTTGAATTCTTTCATTAAAATTATAATTAATTTAATTAAATTTAATATTAATACATTTCAATATAATTGATTACGTTAAATAATAAGGTAAACTTAAGTTACATCTCATTTTTTCAAACATTTTGTTTGCTTATGCACGGAATCTCCATTTGTTACGAGAAGAAAAAAAAAACAAATGGCGCTATATCCGTTATTATAATTGCATTCGGATTATTAATTTTAAGTAACTAATACAGACGATAAAGGAAAGTTATTTATCGTACTCATGAATAAATATTTATTCTTATTGAATTGTACAACATTTAATGGGTTGCTAAAGTCGATCACTTCTCATTGAGTTTCAAATAAATACTTTGCGGCGTTAAGGAGTGTCCAATTATAATTGAATATAGTAAAAGTTCAATTTATATTTTTAACTTAAGAAGGAAATGCTTTTCCATAGCTAAAAAAAAATCCGAATATATATATACAAGTATTGTTAAATATAGAACGGTATTTCATGTGTGATATGTTACATGATTATGTAAAAAATAAAGTTACAGTTACATATAAATTATTATGGGCATTGCATATCAAATATTATTATAAAAAAAAAAAAAATCAAAAAGTATATAAATAAAAACAAGATTTCTTTCTTTTTTTCTCAAAAAAAAAAAAAATTCCTTCCATTTACTTTTTTATTAATCCATTGAATGGATTAATAAAAAATCTTTTTTGAACACATAAAATATATAACGTGTAAAAGTATAATTAATAATCATGTTTGCGTTCCAGAAAACTAATCAAACACCATCGCATTTATATAATGACGAAGAAAAAGCAGAGATTAGGTCAATTGCTTCTTTTGAATCAAAGTATAGTAACAAAAGGAATGTTTATAATGGTCATCAATATATAGCTATAAGTCCAGATGGTAATCAGATAGTAACATTAAATACCACAACTTATCAATTAAAATTATGTCAATCCGATAATATATCAAAATTATATACTTTAAATTATGATAGTTTTAAAAATTTCGATTCTCCCGCTGTAATTTGGAGTTTAGCCGTATCTAATGAAATTACTTTACCTGATCGGACAACTGATGTATTAATTGCCGTCTCTTGTTTTGATGATGATGTTAATAATGCTGATTCAACTATCAAACATACTTGGGTCATTTCTTCTGTTAAACAAGCGAGAATTTCTTCTTCAATTAATGATATGGGTGGTATAATTAAATTCTTGGATGATGAAAGTTCGGTTTCTGAAAAGACAGATTTAGCCCTTATAAATTCTTATGGAATTTCAAGATTTTCTATTCATCATAATAAAATCAATTCTATGATAAATGAAAACTATGTTCATGGTTGGTTTAATCTCTTCTCTGATAAATCCGTTGAAAATTTTAATTTACCAAGTAAATTATCAAATAACGAAATTTCTAGTTTTTCTATTCGACAAAATTTAGTAAAAGATCGTTTTTTGGTAGAAAGTTATAAAAATAAAATACAAACTGTTGAAATGTATAATTTAAGATCAAGTTTATTAGAAAATACTTTTCAAAAATCGGAAGAAAATGCTGCTTCATTTTTAGGAAGTGGTTATTCTTGTTATGCTATATCAAAGAATGAATCCTTATTCGCTTATTGTCGTGGTGCAAATAGTATTACCATTTATTTAATGGAGAATGGTTTGGAGGTTACTACAAAAAAATTTGATGAAACGAATATTCAAATACTTTTTTTCGATTTCTTAAAGAATGATGAAAATTTATTGATCGTTGTTGAAAAAGAAAGTTATAAAGAAGAAAATTCAGAAATAGTTAAAACTCCTACTATTGTAGTTTGGGATTTATTTAGTAGTTCTGATAATTGTATTAGAAGGATAAATGATACTTTTTCGTTATTTCCTAAAAAATGTGAACATCATCAAAGGTTGGCTAATTCTTCAGGAAATCTTATTACAATTACGGATGATGGGAATATTACTTCTTTATTACAAGATTCTGAAATAATTAAATTATTAGATCCTGTAAATTATAATACAAGAAATGTTATTCAACTTAACGAAAAGTCCAATACTTCCTCATCAGCTGCCATAACAACTAATACTACCATGAATTATCATTCAATTTACGATACTTATGGAAAATATTTAGGTTCTAAATTCGAAAATAGAATTATTAAGAATCCTGAACCTTGGATATTAAATAAAAATTATGAACGTACCTCGGTTTATCTTGATGATTATAAATCTATTCAATTATTTATTGGTGAATCCACCGTTCAAATATGGCGTAAAAGAAAAAGTGGAACGTCAACTTCAAAAGCATCATCATTATCATCTACGAAAATTCTTGAATATATTTGGACAAATAATTTTAATAGACCAATGCAAATCCAATCTTTAGAAGTTGGTCATAAAGAATTCTCTTTAACATTACATATTCCTTCCATAAATTCATTTTCTGAACCTGGAGATACAGTTACACTTGAATGGCCTGAAAAAGTTAATCCTCCAGTACATGCTTGTGAAGCATTAGAATTTTTTAATGAGAAAAAAGGTCAACCTTTAGATCCAAAAAGGCAACATCAATTTGATGATTTGATTCAACAAACTGAACGTATCGTTAGAAAATATTTAACTAAAAAATGCGGTTTATGGCGGATGTTAGATATACGTTATGATATTATGACAAATCTAATTCGTGGTAATTGTACATATATTATTAGAAATATTTTATGGTCCATATCCGATAGAAAAAATAATTATTTACATATTCCAAGATGTAATTCTTGGGGTGGTCAACTCGCGAAAGAGACTGATCTTGAAATAGCTATCGCATGTACAAAAGGAGGTTATCGTAAAGATACGATGATAGTTAAATATTTATTAGACTATTATTCTAATAATGCTTTAGATTCTTCAAATTGGATGTTTACCGTTGCTAAAGCAATTCCGATCCTTTATGAATATAATTTAGAATTTTACGTTGAAGAACTATTTCAAAAACGTTGTTTTGGTGCCAGCGAAGTTTACTTGGATCAATCTAAAATTAGTGATAAAGACATGGATAGAAGTAATCAGAAAGATGTTCATGCGCTAAACGTAAATTTGGGTCTCACCAAGAAAAGAAAAGAACGTAATTTCTTTCAAAAATCAATCGTTAAAGGAAAACAAAGGTAGATATTAATATATTAATAATTAATAAGATTAAGTGTAGCACAGACAATAAACGAAAATAATTCATTTTTTTTTTAATTTTTTTTCCTATCATTTTTTTTTAGTGGAGAGAAAATTATTTCAGATTTAGTGACTTCTGCCCCTAGTTCTTCACTTATTAATCAGGTTTACATGGTACCTCTTCCTGATTTTACCGTATATCCTGAGAAATTTGAAGATAAACGAGTAGAATATTGGAAGATTCCTTTCAAATTTTTAAAATTATTATTTTGGCCACGTGGTCATGTGCTTAGAAAAAAGCATCATATGAGTCCATTTTTGAGAATGATAAGAGAAGACAATGGTGCAGAAATTTACGATAATCCATCAATAGCCGCAGTAATTGATTTTAAATGGAAAGCGGCAAGAAATCATTTCTTAAGACATGCACTTATATACGTTGTATTTGCATTCCTTTTTGCAATCATAAACGGTGCAATTGAAGTGATAGGTGAAAAAATTGCTAGTGGTTATATAAATATTGTAATGCTTATTTTATTTTATTGGTTGGGATTTTATTTATTGAATACTGAAAGAATTCAATTAAAATATGAGGGATGGAGAAGATACTTTGGTCTTTATAATTTTTTTGATTTGTTTTCAGTCATTTTTCAATTAGTGATGACTAGTTTCCTTCTATACCTTCTTCTTACTATCCCTAATCAAGATGAAGAACCAGAAAAATATCAAGAACAAGCTGAAAATTATTTAAGAAACTATCGAATATATATTATTCTTAGTTCATTTGCAGTTTTAGTAATGTGGTTGGAACTTTTTTTGGTAAGTTTCTGAATAATGAATATTTAAATACACATAACGTTTAAATATTTGATACTAACTTTATTTTTAATAAAAATAGTTGTTACGATACTTTGAGAGATCTGGAGCTTACATTTATATTTTAGTTAATATATTTAAACAAATTATACCTTTCTTAGTTTTTATTCTAGTGGTTGTCCTCGGATTTGGTCATGCTATGTGAGTGAAAATTTTAAAAAAAAATTCTAAAAAAGTAACGTTGACGATTGATATTTTTACTAAAACTTCATAATATAATTTTATTTATTTTTATTAGGTTCGTTTTACTTAATGATACTAAAACCATAGGAGTTATACCTGATGGTTCCTCTTTTAGTATCACACCTACTGATTCAGATCAACCATTACCATATAAAGTGGATCAAGTGATTGATGTGGATAATAAATCAGATAATTATTACACAAATTTTATTAAATCTGTTGAATCGGTTTTCTTTTGGACTGGTGGTCGTTGGGATCAATTAGAACAATGGGATTTTTGGCCAGTAGATGTTTATTCTATTATTGGTAGTATCCTTCTTGTTACAATTTTACAGAATATGTTGATTGCGATCATGACGTAAGTTTTAATATATATATATATAAAATAATGATTATTTATATTAATCATATTTCAAATAAACTTATTTATAATGTTTAATTTTTAGTGGCGCATATGAAGAAGCAAAAGAAATTGGTAGACATGCAGTATTAGAATATCGAGCGGAATTGATCGAAGATTATGAAACGATCGAAAAACCTCTTGGAAATAAAAGAGGAAATCCTCGATATATTTATTATATCGGAAAATCTGATTATATTGAAGAATGGTTAAGAAAATCCGAGAAAGCAAGAAAAAATCTCTTATCAAAAGTTGATGACAAAAATCCTTGGGACGATCATGATGATGATGATGATGACGATGATGATGATAATGAAGGAGGAGGATATCATTATCAAGATCTTTCACATTATTATTCAACTGAGACTGATTCTATTGCATCACCAAGAAAAGAACAAGAAACTCCATTATCATTATATTGGTTTGTTGATGAAAATTATAATAAGGAGAAATTATCAAAATCAAAATCTTCAAATATTTTATCTAAATCAACTAATATTATTCAAAATAATAATAATGATGATGATAAAGAAACTAGTTTATTAAAAGAAAAAATTATATCCTTGGAAGAAGAATTTTCTGGAAAATTAAATTCTATGGAAGAAACTATCAAAAATTTAATCACTACAATACAAAATCAATAAATGATTTAAAAAAATTTTTTTTTTTTAATTTACCTGATAAATTTATTTAGTTTAAAAAAAAAGTTAATGTTTTGAACATTTTTGAGCATTTTTTATTTTTTTATTTTTATTTTTGTAATATACGTTATGTAATTTTAAAGTTCGATTATTAAAGATTTTTATTAGCATAAAATTTCACTCATTACCAATTGACACTATACAAAAATATAAAAATCGTTTTTAAAAGATAAAAATGGCTTTTGAATGTCATATACACTTAAGAAAATATTTAAAAAAAATTTTAAGTACAATAAATTACTTGCGATTGCTGCGTCATCAACTACGCGAGAATTTTAAGTGATACAAAAAATTAATAAAGGAGAAAACGATCACTAAAAAATAAAGCTTTATTACATTAATGTCACAGGGTGTAATGTGTTTTGTGGGTTAAAATGAATCATTTGTTTATTATTTATTTTGGTATCTGGACTTTTCGCCGATATCCATTTCGCCGATGGGATTTTTCGCCGGAGGGATGTTTCGCCGAAGGGACGTTTCGCCGAAATCCATTTCATCGAATTCCATTTCGTCGAAGCCCATTTTACCAAATGGAAATTTCGCCGAATGGTTATTTTGTAAATGAACATTTCACCGAAAATTATTTATTCTATTTGGTTACTGTATTTTATCGTTTTTATATTTTTCTAGAAAAATTTTTGAATTTGATCTTTATTAAATTTATCTCATTGTTTATAATACATTAATCTTTTTTTTACTTACTTTTTCGTGAATAAATGTTTTCAGGAAATAAAGTTATTTATTTATTTATTTTGATAAACGCATTTCTTTATTAGTAATTGAATTTAAATTTCATATTATATCGTAAATTTAGAAGTACATATGAAATTAAGAAATACATATGAAATTAAGAAACAACTCTAATGAGTCCAACTTAATTTCTTCATATCAACAACCTTCGTATAACTAACGAAGTATACTATATCTACCTAATTTATCAATTTTTAAAATAACTATAATCTAATTAAATCTGGAACAATACCATTATTTTTATATCCCCATTTATGTTTATCATATTCCCCTAATCTAAATACGTTATCTTTACTATTTTCTAACATCATATTTTTTGTAACTATTTTTAATTTTTTACTATTTTTTTTAATTTTATTTTTTCCTTCGTCGCCACTACAACCTTCATCTCCTTCACTCTCAATTACTTTTTTCCCTCTTTTCCTTTTTAATTCTTTCGTCATTCCTCTAGTTTTTTTCAAGTTCTATCGTTTCCTCACATCTTTTATTCCAAAATAACTTTTGTATTTTATCCATATATCTATCACATATTTTATAAATTATATCTTTATCTCCTTTAACCTTACTAACTTTAATCCACTGTTCGTTGATAATACCTCGTCAATTCTCTAAGAACATTTCTGTTACTTTGATATACGAGGTATAAAGTTATTTATTTATTGCTTAACATTTAATATATGTTACTTGAATGTTATGATAATATCCTAGAAAAAAAGAGATCTCTAGAAATAGTTTATTTTATTTTCATTGCGCAATGAATACTACTTTAATCGCTACGAAAATTCGGCGAAATGGAATTCGGCAAATGGATGATTCGGTAAAATGGATTCAATAAAATGCACTCTCGGTGAAATGTTCTTTCGGCGAAACATCCCTTCCGTCGGCGAAATGACTTCGGAGAGATGGGTTTCGGCGAAATGTACCGTAACTTATATTTTATTAAGAAACGTGATTAATAAAGTTTAATAAAATAGGTGAAACTTTTTTTTTGAATGTTTCAATAATTGTAAAGATACTCACGTTGATGTTGTGCATCGGTCCCTTTTTAAAGCATTACACATAGGGATGGCAACGGTTATGATCATAACTGTTTAACCAACCGTTTAACCAACCATTTATTTGATTGACCATTTTTAACCATTTGACCGACCATTTAACCAATTATTTAAGTAAAATGGTATAACCGACCATTTAACCGACCGTTTAACCAATTTTTAACCGACCATAACTGACCGTTTAAATTGCTATAACCGATTATAACCGACCATAACTGACCATAACCGACCGTTGCCATCCCTAAATTTACACATGATATCGACTGATTTCATTTCAGTTATACTGGTTTAAACCTTTAAACGAATCAAATAATGAATAAATTTCGTTATACATATGTTTTTATTTTCACAAAAATTAAAAAACGTCATTAAACATCAAAATTTGGGAGTAATTTTGGCCAATATTACGGCATCAAAAAATTACGCATAACGCATGTGACAAATAATAGGATGACAAATGGGATGCTCCCAAGAATAATTAAAAAGTAGAGGTGAAATATTGAAATATTTTTTTTTACGGAATTACCTGTGACAAACAGTGAATCGGTGCAGTAGGCGCAGCGCACACCAATGTAGAAGTGTCACGTGACAATGGCAGATAGTATATATCTTCTCAACAAAATTTTACACTCGCGTGATCGCAGAAATTATTCGTCATGTGTCACACTTCCATTTTATCTGACGAAATTTAAAAAACTTTTGTAGGCGCAAGTGAAAATCATGTGCGCTTATTCAAAAATTTTTTATCTGCTCTTTATATATAAAAGCAAATTATAATAAGCGCGCAAAAAAATTTTATTTATTATTAAAATATAAAAATTTACATCTCCTACCGCTAAAAATGTTTATTTACAATTCATTAATAAAAATTAATTTCACTCTTGAGAATTTACTACATTTTGCATCCGCCTTGCTTTTAAATTAATCCAATTATCGTATGCTTTTTCAAAGTCAAAATCTTCTATATCAGGACCATTGATTAAAATCATTTTAAAAATATTTATTCAAATTTTCTGTGCAAAGCTTATTTCGAAGCTTTGTTTTAATTAAATTTTGATGCGAAATAATTCTCTCCACTGTTACATTTGATATAGGATAATTTTAGAAAATTTTTGTAAAAATATGCACGTATAGAGTAAATTTTGCGCATACAAGATATAGGAAAATTTTTGCGCGTATAGCGCAAATTTTGCACTATATACGGAGTACGCAGAGCGCTAACCATCTTTCAATAATATCCTCTTGAAATTCATTTATTGCACGGTATAACGTCACATTCGTCACAACATAATTCATATATGGACTTAGTTTGTAGATTTACCGGATAGAACTTGTGGGTCTTAGGACTAAGACCGACTTTACCAACTCTAAACATAAAACGATCATTTTTACACGAATGGCTCGAATGACTACACTATGACTACTGTATTCAAGCCGATACAGTATGAAATCAATTTTTTAGCTAGGTGAATATTTTAATAATAAAGTAGAGAATGGTAGTTGCAACAACTTACAGTATATACAACAATGATACTCGAAGCATCAAGTGACCCGTTATTCGTATCGGTATGAAGTGCCGTACAGATCAAAAATTCCGGATAGTTACCCCGGATGCATCCGGAGTAGTACCTAGGGATTTTTGACTTCATATATCGGCTCCGTTGATGTGCAATGATAACTGCGCCCTTCCTAGTGATAATCCTCGATAATCTTTCTCTCTATATTTCAAAAGTTCGTTATGACCAGATTAATTCTTACTGATAAACGGAATATGGGAAGTTTTCATAATGGATAAAGAACTAGGAGTTTAGAAACAATACTTGTGTGTCTTTAACATTTGGGAAATTAAGAGATTATTGTGTTTCATTAGACTTTATGCTAAAATATGTATTTTTTCTTCAGGGAGTATTTTAGTCATCAGTACTTCTCATTTACAATGTTGATTTTTGGATTAATCAATTAGGTAAACTTTATTCTTTCTTTGATGGATATTTTATTCTTTATTTATGTAATCTAAATATAGATTGGTTTGCCTTTCATATAGATTCTTTCTTTAGCACGTAATTCTTATGATAAGTGCTTCTTGAGAAGTGGTTTCTTGTCATTAGAATATTTAATCGTCCGTCTTTAGCTATTTAAGATTTGTCCGACACTACTGCAGGATTTGGCTTGTCAGAAAAAAATATTTTTATTTAGCCGTATAAACCGAATGTTTTTCTGTTCAAAAAATTAAATAAAAAGTAGTACTTGTGGTAATACAAAAATGTAATTACCATTTACGTTGGACGCTGTGTCCATCTAAATCCGCAGCCACTTTCGCTCCAAATGACATCACTTCACCATTCCTGTCGGTTCACAGAATAATGATGAAGATTATCGCTATAATCACAGTGAAAATTAAATTCTTAAATGCCATTGGGGCAGGGGGAGAGAGTCATTTTAAGCTCTTTTTTATAAGTTTTTCAAGAAAGTTGATCAAATCCTTATCTTTTTAATAGGCTGTATTGCAAAATAAATGACCACACGGCATAACCTGTGCGACAAAATAAATGCGTCATACAATGGGGTCTGTACAACTGATGAATTTTTCACATATACTCCTACCTCAGTATTTTCAAATAAAATTCTTTTTTACTCTTGTCCTCACACACTGTACTTTGAGCCAATAACATTTTGCAAAAATACTATAAAAGCTGAAAAATGTCTATCACGTTACTCTGTCTCGTCAAAGGAAACACAACCGCGAACGCTTTAAAGTCTTAAATACTTCAACTAAAGGTAATAGTCTTGTCTTAGATCCTTCGAGTTTCACTCTTGCTTCAATACATTCATTGTATTCAATGATACTACAATGATACTACACGTGCAATATCATATCTCCTGTTGATATTGAGAAGGACCAGTTTGTTGGCCACCTCAAAAAAGTTATTAAGGCAGAAAAAGCACAATTTACCCGCAGGCTATGGAAGGCATGACGATCAATTGGAGAGGATATATTCACGTCATAGTTGAGCCACCGCATCAACCGCCACTTCAAATCGTGAACAGGAATTACTCGATGAACTCGCTGCATTACGGTTATTACTTAGTAAGTCTGTCTATAGTATATATTTTTCGCGAAATTTTAGGTTGTATTTCAGCTGGGGGCCTCGTCTGAAATCTTCAGGCTGAAATAACTACTAACCGGTTGTTGCATTACAGTGTTCGATGTCGTCATTAGTCCAAAGTGGAAGAGCGGAAGTCAAATAAGTGGACTGCAAATATTGAACATGCGACTCTCGAAGGCCTCAGAATAATACACAAAGAATATGAACCACCTCTCTTGAAAAAGATGAAACGGTATTGAAATTCATAAGCGAAGATAAAGAAAGATATTCGCCTCAGAACGATCAAGACCTGCGTGAGATCCTCCAGCTGTTTGTGGCAAAAAGCAGCTTCAAGTTTACTGTACTCATTGAGACTCCCTCGAGACCCTGCAGTGTAAAAATCAGATCATAAATTTACCTTCAAAATGAACTTCAGTTATAGGAAAAGATGGACGTTTTAAGAAGTCGAGATATCGCAAGACTCCTACAAATAACGCACAAACTCCTCCGGAGGACGAACAATTTGTTGATGCGCCAAGCCGCCAATGAGTCCTACAATTTCTACAGTGCCAAGTAAAGAAGTTGTCAAAAATTTAATCAATTAAATCGGAATTTAGCAATCGTATTACAAAGATTAGTGGAAAAGATAAATCAACTACCAAAAGCAATGACAAAGAAAAAGTTTAGAAGCAGAATCCGAACAATTGAACGAAAACAAAAAACGCATCAGGGACGAAGATGTAAGTCTTTTTTCTGATCATATAAAAACTTTTTTATACTCCTTGTTACCTTTACTCATATTAGTCATATATTTTCAAATTCGTATCTTAGTATCTCAGCTACTATTAATATAAGCTTTAAAAATTAGAATTTTATTCCTCTGATCATTCAGTAAATTTCCTGAAGAAAATTCAAATTCATCAGTGTAAGTAAATAAAAACTCTTCTAAGTCTCTTGCTCTTAAAATAAGATCACAATTTTACTGCAAAATTTTTTGTAATTTTATTAGAAACCTATCATATTTTGTTATTTATCTTTAATATTTTATATTTTTCATCCAATAAATGATAACCATAATTTATTTATTTATCAATATCTGTAGTTATTTTTCTATTCTATTTGATTCATCATTCATTTTTTCATTAATTTTTATACATACTTCTTATATCGATTAATTTTCCATAAACTCTTTAAATCATTTTTTAAATTTTTCTTATATTTTCTTGTTCTTTGCACATACTTTATATCATACTATATGTATATATATATTATATTTTAATACATTTTTAGTATTAGTTAAACTTAACTAGTGCCTCGACCCGTATCCGGATCAATCCGGATTGATCCAGATTTTTTTTTTTTTTGGATATCCGGATTTTCACGGTTTTCATCCGGATTATAAACCGGATGAAAAATATCCGGTTTGACCCGGAATCCGGATGAAATTTTTATTATTTTTTTTTTTATTGATAATAATTTTGCTGATCCATAAAGATCTATATCTAAATTATATTATGGCTAATTATTTTTGCGCCTAATACCAATTTTTTTATTAAAATTTATTAAATTTATATTTGTTATATTAAACTTTTTAATACAGTAAGTTTAAGAAGATTTTTCAATTATAATTTATTTATTGAAGTTTGTATCAGATTTGTTTATTTAAATTTATACATTAACAAATAACAAATAATTTTAGATTTCACATTCAAACGTTCAAAAGAAAAAAAACTTTATATTATTTTTGTTACAACAAAATAATAATTATTGTTTTAAATGAAAAATTGTTCAATATTATAAATTTATATAATTATAACAACTTTTTTTAAAAATTAAAACTAGTGTTATATAATTTGATTCAAATGATTCTTTAATTTTTGAAAGAAGAAACAAATCCTTAAAAAATTGCCTTACTAACCCAACACATCTATTTATAGTAATCTTTAGCTGTATATAAAAATATCTTGTTTAAAATTTCATAATTAGTTAATTTACAAAGAAATGTTAAACAATAGTCTGAGACAATGCTGAAATAATATGAAATTGTTTTAAAGAAAAGTATTTAATGAAATTGGAATTATGTAAATTTCGTGGTCTTGGATAATTTTGGCCAAATTTGTAATTCTGGCCGAAATTAACATCACGTGACACCGGGAAAATAGTTTAGCCACCGGGCAAAAAATTTTTTATCGGCTGGCATGAAAATTTAATGTTACACAATTTGTAATTCTGGCCGGCGTTATGAATTCTGGCCAGAATTATTGCCGATCATTTGTAAATCCAATCCGGTTTCCGGTTTCTATCCGGATTATCTGATCCGGATTCAAAATCCGGGTCAATCCGGATATAATCCGGATTATCTGATCCGGATTCAAAATCCGGGTCAATCCGGATATAATCCGGATTTTTTTTTTGTGTAATCCGGATGACGGTTTTCATCCGGGTCGAAGCACTACACTTAACACTGTTTATAATAACTGATTTAAAAGCTTCACATTTCTACATAAACACTTTTAATTATATATTTTATAATATAGTTTATAATATAGTGTATATATTATTTGGAAAAGTAAAAAAAAGAATGTTTAAATAACCCAAAAATTAAAAAAATGGTAAAATAAGAGAAAAATGGGACATTTAACGATGAAAAAAATGTAAAAATTATCATGTATGTACCTACATAAAAAACATGTTTTGCAACGCAGTAATTGTAATTTGATGGATCGGAATCGAGCCAAAAAATGTTCAATATTCTAATATAAAATTCTCTTTAAAATTTCATGCTCTTCAATTTAAATATTTGAATAATACTTATTGAAAATTAGAATTTCGTATAGCTCTTCTTTCAAAATTTTTTTTATAGGTAAATCTTGAAAGATTTTCCTCAAATAAAAGACTCAAATTTAATTACATGTTGAGTTATAGGATCTTTTTTTTTATTTAAATTTTAAAAAAAATTAAAACTAGCAGCAAAATTAGTAAGGGGTTATAATAAAGTTTATGATATTTGAATTTGTAAATTGCAAGTTTAAATATACAAGATTACAAAAGTTTCTGAAAATAACTGAATCCGTTGGTTCATACCAATACATTTAAGAAATACAGTATATAATAATGAAATTAAATTTATTTATTTGATTTTATGATATTTGTTTATTAATAATTCATAAAATTTTGTTTAATTACAAACCGATTTTTATTATGTAAAAATGTTCTACACATTACTCTATAATCAGTGTTAAACAAAAAATAATTTATAAAAAAAAAGTATAATAAATTTTCTAAAAGTAAAATTTTGTTTAATTACAAACTGATTTTTATTATGTAAAAAAGTTTTACATATTACTCTAATAATCAGTGTTAAACAAAAACTAATAAATACAGTATAAAACTGTCTGCTATTCATATTTATATATTTATTCGAAGTTTAATACATTATTTTACTTAAAATTTAAACCATCATTTTTCTTTACAAAAAATGGTTATAACTTATAAGCTATAAAAGTAGAATAAAAGATGAGTAAAAAAATAAAAAACAGGAGAATAAAAAAAAAATGCAACTTACTTTGTAAAATCAGTAATTTCTACTGTATTACTATTAAAATTATCTTCATATTTTGGAAGATTTTTTGTAAAAGGATTAAGTAATCGAGATGTATAAATAGCTTGTGTATGAGTAGTTAATTGATTATTTTTTATTGATAAAAAATTTTCTTTTCTATATTCTTGTGTCTCATTAAATTGCTTTTCAATTTCCTTATTTATCTGATATCTATTAAATAGGAAAATCAATTCTTTTATTTCAACTGAATTTGGCCTATTATCTGGATTTGAATCCCAGCATTTTTTCATTAAGTCAATATAACATTTTGGTGTAATTTGATCGTTTATTCCAGGTCTAATTCCATTACATATATTTAATGCTAGAACCTCATCATGAGCACAATTAGCAAAAGGTTGTTTACCAGTTGCTATGACATACATAATCATACCAAAGCTGTATATATCTGCTGCTTGAGTATAAGGATTTCCTTTTAACACTTCAGGAGCTACATAAGGCATAACTCCATAAATACTTGTTTCATTAATATCATCAATTTTTTTACATAATCCCATGTCAGAAATACACACATTATAATTATGTAATTTTTTAAATAATATATTGCCAATATGAAAATCACGGTGAATCATCTGTTTTTGATGAATTGTATTTAGACCAATAATAATGTCAGTTAATATTTTTAATCCATTAGACCAATCAAAAACTTCACACTTTTCCTTTAAATAATTAATGAAGTTTCCACCTTCTGCATATTCAAGAACCATTATATACTCTTTTGTATTTGGATTTTGGGATATTCCATATATTTTAAGAATATTATCTATTTTTTGATTTGTATATGCTTTAACCTATTGAATCATAATAAATGTGTAAATATTGTTATTTTTGCTAAAGATATGTAAATTATAAAGAAATTTCATACCTCATTTACAAACTCATCAAGGAAATTTTGTGAATTATTTAAACATTTTAAAGCAACTTTTGTATTTGATTGTCTTTTCCATCCAGTTTTAAAAGGATTACAATCATAAAATAATACGCCATCTTTCCAAATTGCTGAATATACTGTAGAGAAACCACCTTTACCTATCTCTTTAATATCATTAAACTGGTCATATGGTATCCATTCAAACATTATGTCAAAGTCTCCAGAATTATGATCAATATTTAATTTAATTTCTTGAATTAAATCATGAATTTTTTTATTTTCATGATTTGTCTGACATGATATACAGCTTTTATTATTCCTTTCAAACTGATTATTGTATTTTTTACCACAAATTTCACAGTAATATTCAATTTTACAAACTAACATATAATCTTTTGTATTTGGATTTTGAGTTATTCCATAATTTTCCTTAACAGAATATATGACCTGTTAAATATTAAGTCATTATATTATTAAATATTAAAAAATAAGGTATATTATTAGAAAAGTTTCATACCTCACTTAAAGATAAGTGACTGACATTTTGTGAATTACATAGGTATTTTAAAATGACTTTTATATTTATTTCTCGATTGTAACTCATTCTTATACTGCTATAATATAATGGTCCATCCTTCCATATTGCTGTAGCTAAGACATTATTTTCTATTTCTTTAATTTCAATAAACTCATTGTATGATATCCATTCAAATATTCCGCCCTGATAAACATTAACTTTTAATTGCATCTTTTGGATGAAGTTATCAACTTTCTCATTTCCACTAGTCCAGTCTGTAAAATTATTTTTTAAATAATTCATTTGACATTGTTCACACCATTTATACTTTATATCATCGTATTCATTACCACATTTTTCACAATAACGGTCAAAATATTCAACATTGAAAACTAAAAGATAAACTTCCGTATCTGGATTTTGAGATATTCCAAAGATTACTTTATTTTCTAAATATGATTCAACCTATCAATATATGGAAAAAATTAATATTAAATTGATATTCGATTTAAATATATAGTAAATATTAATACCTCATTTGAAAAGTCGGCAGTAATTTCTTGTGAATTGTATAGATATTTTAAATAAACTTTTTCACGTGATTTTCCTACCGATTTTTGATCATTAGTATTATCCTTCTCCCATATTGCCAAAGAATAATTTTCTAACTCTTTAATAATGATAAACTTATTGTATGATATCCATTCAAATATCTTATCATGATAATCATTAATGTTTAATTGCATCTTTTGGATGAAGTTATCAACTTTCTCATTCCTATTAGTCCAGTTTGTAAAATTATTTTTTAATTGATTTATTTCACATTGTTTACACCATTTATAAATCCGATTTTCGTATTTGTTACCACATTTTTCACAATAACAGATAAGATATTCATTATAAAAAACTAAAATATGAACTTTTGTATCTGGATTTTGAGATATTCCGAAGATTACACCACTTTTTAAATATGATTCAACCTATTAAAATATGGAAAAATTAATATTATGTTGATATTTAATTTAAATATAGAAAATATTAATACCTCATTTGAAAATTCGTCAGTAATTCCTTGTGAATTGTATAGATATTTTAAATAAACTTTTCATATGATTTTCTTACTAATTTTTTATCATCAGTATAATATAATGGACCCTTCTTCCAAATTGCTGAAGTATAATGTTCTAACTCTTCAGTAATGATAATTTCGTTGTATGGTATCCATTCAAATACAGTATCAGATTTATTAATTTTCAATTGCATTTTTTGAATGAGGTCATCAAATTTTATATTCCCACTAGTCCAGTTTGTAAAATTATCTTTTAATTGATTTATTTCACATTGTTTACACCATTTATACTTTATATCGTCGTATTTATTACCACATTTTCCACAATAATAGATAAGATATTTTTTGTGAAAAACTAAAATATAAACTTTTGTATCTGGATTTTGAGATATTCCGAAGATTTCATTATTTTTTAAATATGATTCAACCTATTAAAATATGGAAAAATTAATATTATGTTGATATTTAATTTAAATATAGAAATATTAATACCTCATTTGAAAATTCGTCAGTAATTTCTTGTGAATTATATAGATATTTTAAATAAACTTTTTCATATGATTTTCTTACTAATTTTTTATCATCAGTATAATATAATGGACCCTTCTTCCAAATTGCTGAAGTATAATGTTCTAACTCTTCAATAATGATAATTTCGTTGTATGGTATCCATTCAAATACAGTATCATAATATTTACTAATTTTTAATTGCATTTTTTGAATGAAGTGATCAAATATTATATTCCCACTAGTCCAGTTTGTAAAATTATTTTTTAATTGATTTATTCGACATTCTTTACACCATTTATAATAACTCTGATCGTATACATTACCACATTTACAATAATGGTCAAAATATTTATCACAAATAACTAAAAGATAAACTTCCGTATCCGGATTTTGAGATATTCCAAAGATTACACCACTTTTTGATTTAACCTATCAATATATGGAAAAAATTAATATTATATTGATAATCTAATTAATTAATAGAGAAATTGAATACCTTATTAATAAATTCGTCAGTTATATTTTGTAAGTCATATAAAAACTTTAATGTAACAAATTCATACGATTTTTTCATCCATTCATTTTCCCTTTCACAATGAAATAATGGACCTTCCTTCCATATTGCTGTAGCAAAACAACTTTTTCCTAATTCTTTAATACCAATAAGCTCATTATATGGTATCCATTCAAATACTGCTTTTATATCACCATATTTTGTATATGAAGCATCATAATTTAGTTGCTTTTCTTGAATGAAATTATCAATTATTTCATTTCCACTGGTCCAATTTGCAAAATTTTCTGCAATAATTTTTTTTCCAGCGGTCAAATCTCCCGAACCAATAATTTCCATTAAATATTAAAATTCAAAAGATAGAATGAATGAACGATAGAATAATAACTTGATTTTAAATATAAATAGTACAATACTAAATTTGGTAACAAAAAAAAATATGGCGTAATGAAAATGTATAAGCCTTTAATTTTTAATTAAATGAATGTGAAAATGTGACGTAATGATGCACTACGAAAACGCCATAAGACAATCACAGTATCAATTCCAATTAACGTTAGATTGTTTTTATTTTGAGTTACCACCTTAATTTTTTTGCACTCAAGTTTCGTGGCGCGTTTGTGTCGATCTTCACCATATAAGGAGCACGTGACATTTAAGTGTCACTGAACACGTGCAGCCACGAGTTCAAAATCATTAACAGTTTTTTAGTGTCAAAAATTTATATGTCACCCCCGTGACACAAAAAACCACGCCCACAAAACTTGGGTGCAATTTTTTTATTAAATGACGTAAAAAAAACAAAGAAAATATGACGTAATTAATTTTTTTTATTTAAATGGCGTAAAAAAAAAAAAAGTAAAATACTAAATTTAGTTAACAAAGAATGATGTACTACGGAAACGTACAAGTCTTTTATTGAACAACTAGAATATGTAACTACTTCGTCCCCAAAGCATAATATTTATTATTATAAGGTATTTATTGTACAAAAGGAAAAAAAATTTCCACTAATTTAACAAGAAAAATTCACGATTATTGATTTATGACAATTTTTAAAATAAATTTTAAATAAAAAATTTCTTTAATTAAATATTAATAAATCTAATTATTTTCATGATTATTTTTCTTTTTATTTTAGCTCTTCGAAGATGATCAAAGAAAAAAAATGTTCAACAAAATTTTTTTTACAAAAGTTAATTTCATACAGAAGAATTGATCACTCTTACTGCTTGTAAGTTTAATCATCAAATATTAAATAAAGTATTAATATGGTTAGGCTAGGTTCTTAAAAAGGATATCATTTGTCGATTATCCACTTGTTTTTGTTTAACATCCACTCAAATTCATAATCTTAACTTTATTTTCTTTTTTTATTTCGCAAACTTTGTAAGAAAAATGTCCAAACAATTTTTTTCAGGATTAAGTCAAAATTATATGGAAATTTTGGAAGATGATGAATATTATGATGTTACTATTGAAGTTGGTGAGGACCCGAGTGAGGACCCGAACAAATATTTAATTGAAAATAAATCTAGTGGGTAGAACAATATTTTGAATTAATTTATCGAACAAGTTTACAATCTAATTCTTTATTAGTGCTCCAACAATATTGTACAAGTTTATGGCCAAATTTCCTGAAAAAGTATCTAAAATCACTCTAAAATCGCTTGATTTTACCTCTCTTCCCGAAAAATGAGCCGGGTAAAATAGATGTCAATGCAGACCTTTAGGTGGCATTCGTTCGTTAAATGGGCAAAACGACCAAAACGTTTTAGAAAATTTGGAATTATTGGCTGCTGCTGATCAACTTCAAGAATTAGTTGATTATTTGCAAAGTATTAAATCTGTGTGGATTAAACAACATTTTGAACTCACACATAGAACAAGTTTTCAATCCAGTAATTTATTAGAACTTCAACGATGTTGTACGCAAGTATACCTCACATAAAAACATGTTTTGTATCGCAATAATTGTAATTTGATGGAATCGAGCTAAAAAATGTTCAAATATTCTAATATAAAATTCACTTTAAAATTTCATGCTCTTCAATTTAAATATTTAAATAATACTTATTGAAAATTAGAATTTCATATAGCTCATCTTTCAAATTTTTTCATAAGTGAATCTTGAAAGATTTCTTCAAGTAAAAGACTCAAATTTAATTAAATGTTGATTTATATGATTTTTTTTTATTTAAATTTTCAAAAAAAATTGAAACTGGTAACAAAATTCGTAGTACTGCTGAAATTACAATTTATATATCACAGAGCAACTGAGGATGTTAATATAAGGGGTTATAATAAAGTTTATTATATTTAAATTTTGTAAATTGCAAGTTTAAGATTACAAAAGTTGTTGAAAATAATTGAATATGTTGGTGTACTTACTTTCATACTAATATTAATATATTTTAAGAAATACTAAATTTATTTATATGATTTTATGGTATTTGTTTATTAGTCATTCATAAATTTTTGTTTAATTACAAACCGATTTTTATTATGTAAAAAAGTTTTACATATTACTCTATAATCAGTGTTAAACAAAAACTAGTAAATACAGTATAAACTGTATGCTATTTATATTTATATCATTTATTTGAAGTTTAACACATTCTTTTACTCAAAATTTAAACCATTTTTCTTTACAAAAAATGGTTATAACTTATAAGCTATATATAAAAACAGAATAAAAGATGAGTAAAAAAATAAAAAACAGGAGAATAAAAAAAAAATGCGACTTACTTTGTAAAATCAGTAATTTCTACTGTATTACTATTAAAATTATCTTCATATTTTGGAAGATCTTTTGTAAAAGAATTAAGTAATCGAGATGTATAAATAGCTTGTGTATGAGAAGTTAATTGGTTATTTTTTATTGATAAAAAATTTTCTTTTCTATATTCTTGTGTCTTATTAAATTGCTTTTCAATTTCACGATCTACTAATTGTTCCTTTTCAATAGATATTTCAAAATGTTGATTTAATCGATATAATGAATTGTAAAATAGGTCAATAGATTCTTTTAATTCAATTGAATTTGGTCTATTATCTGGATTTGAATCCCAACATTTTTTCATTAAGTCAATATAACATTTTGGTGCAATTTTGTCATTTATTTCAGGTCTATTTCCATTGCATATATTTAATGCTAGAACCTCATCATGGGCACAATTAGCAAAAGGTTGCTTTCCAGTTGCTATGACATACATAATCATACCAAAGCTGTATATATCTGCTGCTTGAGTATAAGGATTTCCTTTTAACACTTCAGGAGCCACATAAGGCATAACTCCATAAATACTTGTTTCGTTAATATCATTAATTTTTCTACATAATCCCATATCAGAAATACATGCACTAGATATGCTCTTATAACCATGTAATTTTCTAATTAATATATTTCCAATATGAAAATCACGGTGAACCATTTGTTTTTGATGAATTTTATTAAGACCTTCAATAGCAATAGTTAACATACTTAATCCATTATACCAATCAAAATCTTCACACTTATCCTTTAAATAACTATTAAAATCTCCTTCTGCATATTCAAGAACCATTATATACTCTTTTGTATTTGTATTTTGGGATATTCCATAAATTTTAAGAATATTATCTATTTTTTGATTTGTATATGCTTTAACCTATTGAATAATGTTTAAATATTATTATTATTGTTAAATATATTTAAATTATAAAGAAATTTCATACCTCATTTATAAACTCATCAAGGAAATTTTGTGAATTATTTAAACATTTTAAAGCAACTTTTGTATTTGGTTGTCTTCTCCATCCAGAATGATAAGATAATAAGCCATCTTTCCAAATTGCTAAATATACTGTAGAAAAACCACCTTTACCTATCTCTTTAATATCATTAAACTGGGCATATGGTATCCATTCAAACATTATGTCATTTTGTTTAACATCACGATCAATATTTAATTTAATTTCTTGAATTAAATCATTAATTTTTTTATTTTCATGATTTGTTTGACATGATATACAGATTTTATTATTTATTTCAAACTGATTATTGTATTTTTTACCACAATTTTCACAGTAATATTCAATTTTACAAACTAACATATAATCTTTTGTATTCAGATTTTGAGTTATTCCATAATTTTCCTCAACTGAATATATGACCTGTTAAATGTAAAATCAATATATTATTAATTATTAAAAAATAAGAATAAGTAATATTATTAGAAAAGTTTCATACCTCACTTAAAAATAAGTGACTGACATTTTGCGAATTACATAGGTATTTTAAAATGACTTTTTTATTTATTTCTCGATCGTAACTCCTTCTTATACTACTATAATATAATGGTCCATCCTTCCATATTGCTGTAGCTAAGTCATTATTTCCTATTTCTTCAATTTCAATAAACTCATTGTATGGTATCCATTCAAATATCTCATTATGACATCCATTAATTTTTAATTGCATTTTTTGAATAAAGTCATCAATTTTTATATTTCCACTAGTCCAGTCTGAAAAGTTATTTTTTAATTGATTTATTTGACATTCTTTACACCATTTATAAGAACTATTATCGTATTCATTACCACATTTTTCACAATAATAGTTAAAATAAATATCGTTGAAAACAAAAAGATAAACTTCAGTATCCGGATTTTGAGATATTCCAAGGATTACATCATTTTTTAAATATGATTCAACCTATCAATATATGGAAAAAATTAATATTAAATCGATATTCAATTTAAATATATAGAAAATATTAATACCTCATTTGAAAATTCGTCAGTAATTTCTTGTGAATTATATAAATATTTTAAATAAACTTTTTCATTTGATTTTCTTATTAATTTTTTATCTTTTTTATCATAATATAATGGACCCTTCTTCCAAATTGCTGAAGTATAATGTTCTAACTCTTCAATAATGATAAATTCGTTGTATGGTATCCACTTAAATATCGTATCATCATAATTCATAATTTTTAATTGCCTTTTTTGAATAAAATCATCAATTTTTATATTTCCACTAGTCCAATTTGTAAAATCATTTTTTAATTGATTTATTTGACATTCTTTACACCAAATATTAAAACTATTATCGTATTTATTACCACATCTTTCACAATAATGGCCAAAATAAATATCATTGAAAACTAGAAGATAAACTTCAGTATCCGGATTTTGAGATATTCCGAAGATTTCATTATTTTTTAAATATGATTCAATCTATTAAAATATGAAAAAATTAATATTATATTGATATTTATTTAAATATAGAAAATAATAATACCTCATGTAAAAATTCGTCAGTAATTTCTTGTGAATTATATAGAGATTTTAAATAAACTTTTTTATTTGATCTTCTTTCTAATTTATTATACATTTTATCATAATATAATGAATCCTTCTTCCAAATTGCTAAAGTATAATTTTCTAACCCTTCAATAATGATAAATTCGTTGTATGGTATCCATTCAAATAGTATATTATATTCATAAATTTTTAATTGCATTTTTTGAATAAAATCATCAAGTTTTATATTTCCACTAGTCCAATTTGTAAAATCATTTTTTAATTGATTTATTTGACATTCTTTACACCATTTATAACAAATATTATCGTATTCATTACCACATTTTTTACAATAACGGTCAAAACAAATATCATTGAAAACTAAAAGATAAACTTCAGTATCCGGATTTTGAGATATTCCAAAGACTATTACATCATACTTTGAATATGATTCAATCTATCAATATATGGAAAAAATTAATATTATATTGATATTCTAATTAATTAATAGAGAAATTGAATACCTTATTAAGTTCGTCAGTTATATGTTGTATGTCATATAAAAATTTTAATGTAACAAATTCATACGATTTTTTCACCCATTCATTTTCATTTTTATAATGAAATAATGGACCTTTCTTCCATATTGCTGTAGCAAAACAACCTTTTCCTATTTCTTTAATACCAATAAGCTCATTATATGGTATCCATTCAAATACTGCTTTATCAAAATTACGGTAATCTAGTTGCTTTTCTTGAATGAAATTATCAATTATTTCATTTCCACTGGTCCAATTTGCAAAATTTTCTGCAAGAATTTTTTTCCCAGCGGTCAAATCTCTCAAACCAGGAAATTCCATTAAAATATTAAAATTTTAAACGTAAGAACGAATGAACGATAGAATAATAAACTTGATTTTAAATATAAATAGTACAATACTAAATTTGGTTAACAAAGAAAATATGGCGTAATGAAACCTATTAGCCTTTTATTATTATTTTTTTTATTTAAATTACTAAATACGTAAAAACCTTAATTTTTTTTTTATTAAATGGAGTAAATAAAGTAAAAAACGTACAAACAAAATGTGACGTAATGATGCACAACGAAAACGCATAAGACAATCATTCATCGATCATTCCAATTAACGTTAGATTATTTTTATTTAGAGTTACCAAAAACGTCATACCTCAATTTTTTTGCACCCCCGTTTTGTGGGCGCGGTTTTTTTGTATCACGGGGTGACAAATAAATTTTTGACACTAAAAAAAAACTAAGTCCCTCAGATATTGAACTCGTGGCTGCACGTGATCATGTGACACTTAAATGTCACTTGTTCCTTATATGGCGAAGATCGACACAAACCGCGCCCACAAAACGGAGGTGCAATTTTTTTATAAAATGGCGTAAAAAAATGTACAAAGAAATATGACGTATCGTAAAAAAAAAAAGTAAAATACTAAATTTGGTTAACAAAGAATGATGTACTACGGAAACGTACAAGTCTTTTATTGAACAATATTTATTATTATAAAAATATTTATTGTACAAAATGAAGAAAAATTCACGATTATTGATTTATGAATAAATTTTAAATAAAAATTTCTTTAATTAAATATTAATAAATCTAATTATTTTTCATGATTATTTTTCTTTTTTATTTTAAGATGATCAAAGAAAAAAAATGTTTTTTTTTTAAACAAAAGCTTATTTAAACATTTGATAATTAAACTTACAAGCAGTAACTGTACCCAATCTATGATTATTTTGATTCATACTAGTCACCGCAATAGACGAAGTATAAATATGGTTAGGCTAAGTTCTTAAAAAGGATATCATTTGTCGATTATCTGTTTAACATCCACTCAAATTCGTAATTTTTCTTTTTTTTTATTTCGCAAACTTTATAAGAAAAATGTCCAAACAATTTTTTTCGGGCTTAAGTCAAAATTATATGGAAATTTTGGAAGATGATGAATATTATGATGTTACTATTGAAGTTGGTGAGGACCCGAACGTAAAAGTATTTCGTGCACATATGATCATTTTGCATTACCGTTCTCCATTTTTACGCCGAATTTTGTCTTCCAACAAAAAAAATGATAATGATGTATTGGCTCACATTAAATTGTCAAATATTTCACCAGAAATTTTTCAAATTATTTTAAAGTAAGTTATATTCCTAATTTTTATTAGAATAATAAATATTTTATATTAATAATAAATCTTTTTTATTTAGATATATTTATGGTGGCGTCATTTCTTTAAACGAGCAAGAACCTTCTGAAATTTTAAAAGTTTTGGTTGCTGCTGATCAACTACTTCTTCAAGAATTAATTGATTATTTACAAAAATATTTGATTGAAAATAAATCGGAGTGGATGGAAAAATATTTTGAATTAATTTATCGAACAAGTTTACAATCTAATTCTTTATTAGTACTCCAACAATATTGTACAGGTTTTATGGCCAAATCTCCTGAAAAAGTATTTAAATCACTTGATTTTACCTCTCTTCACGAAAAATCTTTGATATCACTCATTAAAAGAGATGATTTACAAATGAAAGAAATTGAAATTTGGGAACATATATTAAAATGGGGACTTGAAAAAAATCCTACACTTCTTCCAGATCCTACAACTTGGTCAGATGATGATTTCAAAATGATGGAAAATACTTTACAACATTGTATACCTTTAGTAAGATTTTTTAGTATTTCATCTAAAGATTTCTTTCAAAAAGTTCGACCTTATAAAAAACTTTTAAAGCATCAACTTTATGAAGAATTATTGGAGTCTCGTTTAAATCCTGATAGTGAGCCAAATGATAATATTTTACTTCCTAGATATAGAAACATTGATGGAATCATTGATTCAAAAATTATTAATTTGAATATAGTTTCTTTAATTTCAAGATGGATTGATAATGATATTAAAAGCAAATTTGCTTATACGAGAGAGTTATATTTACCATATGAATTTAAATTATTATTAAGAGGAAGTAAAGATGGATTTACTCCTAAAAATTTTCATAAATTATGTGATAATGTACCTCATACCGTAACATTTATTAAAATAAAAGAAACGGAAGAAATTATTGGAGGATATAATCCTTTGGAATGGAAATCAGAGGGTGGATATTGTAAAACTAAAGATAGTTTCATATTTTCTTTTAAAAGTAAGAATAATTTTAAAGATCCAATTTTGAGCCATGTAAAAGATATAAATTGTTCATTATATTGTGACAAGTCATATGGACCCACATTTGATAATGATATTTGTATATATGTAATTAGGGGTGATAATTCAAAAGCATATAATTTTTGTCAATGTAAACAAACAAGTTATAAAAGAAAGATAAGAAATATCGAAGATGGTTTTTCAATAGAAGATTTTGAAGTATTTCAAATTATAGAGAAAGTCGATGATATTTAAAATTATAATTTTATATGCATCTGTTAAATTAAATAAAGTGAAATTCAAATATTACCGATGCTAATATTCTGTTTTTGATACAAAAATATCATATATATAATCAGGAAAGCGGTATAGCAAGTAACACAAAAATAACACAAAATGCGTAAATGGCGATGGGAGTACAAGAAAGGAAATTAAATCAGTAAAATATACAATAATAACACAATTTAAAAGGGAAAACGTGTCAGCACAACAAGAAACTTCATTAAAGCTTCGGACAAACAATCGTTATAAGGCTTAGTTTAATGTTACCCTTGATAAAATTAAAAAATTGGTTCTCGAGCAAGAATCCCAAATTTCTGATTTTTTGTGTTTAACCAATAATATTGCTTCAATTATATACTAAAGTTTGTTATGAAATTTTATTGTTAAAAATCATTAATGCTGTAATGAGAATTTATTGTTATATTATATATTTTATATTTTACTATAATATGCAACTAATGCAAAATCAACGTATGAAATCTTTTGTGATGCGATAAAATTTTTAAAAATCCATGCGGTTTGATCAAATTAGGTAAATTTTGAAATGAGAATCACTTTTTTAACTTTATGTCGCCTAATTTCTAATTTATCGTTGATTTTAATAATTTGAAATAAATTTAAAATTATTGCAAATTTCATAACATATCATGAATGGAATAGTAAATTGAAAAAAAACACGTAATATACTAATTTGAGATAAGAGGTAAGATGAAAGAGAATGGTGTCTGGTTGTAATCATGCTTTTATAAAAGCCTCTATACCAATATCAATACATGTGAATCAAAAAATGCCGATTAAATTTTAGGGGGAGGAGGGAAAAATTTTATATGAAAGTTTTTTAATTAAAACTTGATTTATGAAAATATTTAGCAGTGAGCCATGGTGAGATATATACATTATATTAATTTATTAATACATTAATTTACACTGATACTATGTTTTATTAGTAAACATTTGAAATTATTTATGATCTTTGAAAACTTAAGTACATTTAGTCATTCGGGAAGGTTGTAACTCATCATTATAAAATGATTAACCATAATTATAAATGATTAACCATAATTTTAAGAAAATAGATTAACATAATCGGCATAAATTTACTTTTTTTTAAATAATTCTGCCATGATTGATTCTCACTGGTCTAAAGATGGATAAAACAATTACAATTTACAATTCAAACATCATTTTTCAGATCTATTTTCTTGACCGTATGAAAGTACAAAAAAGTTTATTTTATGTATTATAATCAATTTATCATATTGTGCAATGATTTATGATATCACGCCCTATAAAAAATTTTATCCGTTATTTCTATAAAAGCTCCGTAAAAATGAGCCTTTCACGGATCCATTCACGTAAAATGTAAATAATTCGATAAATTCCGCGATATAAGGTTATTAATTTCGGAAATATGAGCCTTTTACGGAAAAAAAGATGGAATATAAAAAACGGATTGACTTTTTTTACAGGGACAAGATTAGTTACAATTCACGTGATAAAAATTTCTATCCCACCAGAATACTGTAGTCTCCATAGTAGTCAACTTTTTTTGCGAAATAATAAAAATAGATTTTGTGTAAAAAATTGATTTAATAATAATAAAGCGGTTTGAAATAAACTATCCCTATCCCTATCCAATATATTGAAGAAAACATTAAATTTAAAATCTAGACAATGCGACGAATATTTTATAATAAGTTTGGTTTTTTAATAGTTCATCAAACAAAATTAATATTAAGTATTAGAAAATGTGTTAATTACCAACAATTGTTTTAAATATGAAGATTCTAAGGAAATATCACGTAGGCTTACATGTACTGCAAATTCAAACTTACTTTAAAAATGGTACCAATTCACGTTAAATACAAGGTGATAACAGAAAATAAAAGAAACAATTTACGATCAACGTAGTAGACGCAGTGTAGGCGCAGCGTACAGTACATCCCCGCGCATATTATTGAAGTTATTGAAGATGGTTAGCGCTCTGCGTACACCATATATAACGCAAAATTTGCGCTATGCGCGCAAAATTCCCCTATACGGCAATACGTGCAAATATTTGCTCCGTACGCGCAAAAATTTAATATTCGGATTTTTTTATAGAGACTATTCATTTTTTAGGACATTATAACAAATCAAAAGAAATATGGCACCAAACTATAAATAAATAGCAATTTCCATTTGAAAGTTTAGTTACTATAAATTATAAAATTTTTATATTTTACTAATTTATTTTATTTCTGTGGATAGTTTTAAAATTTTAATAGGAATAATGTTAGGCAATATTTTAAATTGTAATGACCTTATTGATTGACTTATATGATTATATTATATTTATTCAATTCATTATATTAATTTTAAAACTAAAATATAATAATAATTACGTAATAAAATGAAAGTTTGTATAATGCATATTTAATAGTTTAATCAATTAATAAAAGTTAAGGGGAGAACGGGATGGAACACGAATTCAGTCTACTGGTAAATCCTTCTGAGATATTAAATAACAGTATAAGTTGTTAAGATAGTCTTATTATAAACATTATTATAAGTTTATTAAGATCTGAACTTACTAATATCATATTAATTTTACGCATACGCACAATACTATAATAGAGTGAGTAATTTTAAGAGTATTCATTTAATGATTTGTAATTGTGTCTGTTTGATAATTTTTTTAAATAAGAACTGAAAAATTTTAAGATTCCTGTAAAGTTATTGATAATTGATTTTATTGAATTCTTTAGTTAAAGATAAGTTTGCCTTACAATTTATTTTTAATATTGAAACTAAGTCTATCACGTTTTTATTCTTAAAAAACTATTACAGATATTAAAAATCATGTGTATAAAAGTATAAAAGTTTAGTTACTATTATTAATAACACTTTTTTTCTGCAATTTTAGTAAATAACAAAAAATCTGATAATCATTAAAAATCTATAGAATATTCATATTCCAGACAAAAATTAATTTGTTCCGACGATAATTATTGAAAATTCCGACTTTTTTACAAAAGTATTTCTTATATTTATTGATATTTATATTTACAACATCTTCAATATATAACATAATTTTATATTTCCAATTACTACTCTTCCAACAATTATTTATTTAATCAATTGTATACATTTATAGTCAGAAATTACTATTGCATTACATAATGTGCTATACTTTATAAGGCTTTATATCCAGTTAAAATTTCCTTTGAACTAAGTATTCGTATGGTAAATAAATTGCATGGATGTGACGGTTATGACGCTACAGTTTTTGGTAATTTTCGTGTAATTTAAAGTTTGGACATTAGTTAGCTATATATCAATATATTGGTACATAATTGGTTTCGATACATTATAAATAAAAATCTAATTATCCTCAAATTCAATAATATGGTAAAAATCTATAATATTGACTGTTCAAATCATAAGTATATTCATATTCTATATATTGTATACAAGTTTATAAATAAATAAAATGAATTATATAAATTACAAACTAAGAAAATTTGCAAATATTGCTACTATAGTCTTAGTGTTTAAATAATTCTAAATAAAACAATACAAAAATAATAATGATATCACTCTAATTTAATAAATATTTGGGATCCATCTTACTCGTAGCATAATTTCTTTGCATACATTTGTATCCATATTGTATTTCTAAAATTTAAAATTAATTATATTAGTAATAATACCATTAAAATAACTTCTTTTATAGACCCTTTTGGCCTTTTACTTGGTGAGATTTGCATGCCAAACAATTTCCAATTCTTTAAAATTGGCAAAAATATATTTGGCAGCTTCAACAACTTCAACGGCTTCTGAAAGATTATTTAGCGATGCAGGCAATTTGATATCTGTGAAGAGAACTCATATTGCTCCAGAACTCCTTAAAAGTATAATGTTTCTTAAAGGAATATAGATTTATACAAAATATTCATCCTGCTTATTTATTCTTTACATATTGCAAAAATAATATTTAATAGATAAAAGATTTTGCTCATGTTAAATAGTAAAACTGCTCTTATTTACATAATTACAACAATTACTACATACGGAGTTTATCATTATAAATCAACAGTTACATCATAAATACAACCTATGACAAAAATTGCACAACTCCAAATGCAAACTATCTGTCGGTATCTAAATTTTCCTATTATCGCATCAGATTAATAATCGAAAAATTCGATAATCACTTTTTCATCCATGTATTTTCTTATAATGTTTAAATGTTTATATGTAATATTTTCAAAATTATCACCATTATGAGTGATTCCAAAAAAATATAATTTTCGTTCCCTACAACTTTCAAAAAATCTTTCAAAAGCATCAACAGAATATTTCCAACCTGCACCTATTACTATTTTAGTTAAAGATTTTGGTGAAAAATTTGTTAATATATCTAATAAATTATCACCTATATTATCATTTTCATCATTCATACCCATAGAATAATCTAAACTATTTAATCCTAAATATATTAGATTTTTACAATTTAATAACAATGATTTAACATAATCGAAATCTTCAGGTACAAGATATGTTGATAATTGTTCAATATTTGGACAATTATTAGCTATTGCTTTAATCAACAATCCTGTATTTTCAGCAACATTATCAAAAGTATAAATATTAACTTGTGAAATATTTCCTTTTGTTTTTTCAACTAAAGTTGCAGATTCTTTAAAACATGATAATCCATTAAGACAAAGAATTTGAAGTTCAGGAAATTCTGAAATTGCAAGATAATTTTGAAATTCTTCTTTAGTATCTTCATCACTATCATAATCACTATAAATTGTTATTTTTTTTAGATTAGTTAGTGATGTTAAGAATGAAGGTGGAATAATTCTAACTGAGCGTAAATTAAGTTTATTAATCGTATTTCCTTTCCTTGCTAATGCTTCACTTAATTCTTTACAAGTAGGTCCTTTCGTAATATGTTCAAATGATACACTTTTTAATTTTCTTTGTGCATCAATTAAAGAGATTAATCCAGAAATTTTTTCTTGAGAATAATCATGAATAATTAATACGTTCAAATCTTTACAAAGTTGTGCCATCTTATAAAGTGAATCATTATCAACTTTATCAATTTCAATACTCAAACCATGAAGTTGAGAAAAACATGTTGAGGCTCCTGGGAATGATAATATAGGTTGTGAGGTTCTCCATGATAATTCTTTAATATTATTACATTGACTAATGTATAATTTGTATAACTCTTGTTCTAAATATTTGTATTTTCCACATCTTCCAGTTATAAAGGTTTCACCAGATACCATTTCTATAATTTCTTTAATAAGTTTAGATTTCAGAAATTTACAATAACTAATATAATTAAATGAAGGTGGTTTTAAAAGAATTGTTGAAGGTAATTTAATACCATTATCAAATAAAAGTTGTTTTGAAGTTGATGAAAGACAATAAAGTATTATATTAAAAAGTTTTTCTTTTGATTTATTTTCTTTTAATTTATCATTAATTTTCTGTGGATAATTTTTCCATAAGATTGGAACTACTAAACGACACCATTCTTTATTAACTAAAAGACAAGAATATAAATATGTTTCTTTGATTTGTAATTCATTAAAAATGAAAACTAGGCAATCCACATTAAGCCTTATCATCTTTTCTTAATAAAATAAGAATATTTCAATTTTTTTTAAAATAAAATTACTGAGATGTTAAACGAACAGAGATCTGAGGATGTTAAAAGAATATCTGAGATGTTCAATGGGATGTTAAAAGAACTGAGATGTTAGATGTTAAAATAACATTTTTATTATTAAAGTTAGTTTGTTAATATAATGTCATACGATATCAAAACATAACGCTTATAGTGTTAATATTATAATTTATTAATATTTTGAAAAAAACAAGTAAACTTGATAGTCATAATTTGTCATACATATCTCATACATATTTCACAAATAAAATTTTACAATAAATCTTGACTCATTTATCACTACTTCACCATTTATATATTTTCTTCTCTAACATCATCATATTTATAATAATTATAGTAAATTATATTAAGAATTATGGTGGAAAAGTCTTAATCAAACCCAAGTCCATATGATATTACATAACTCTTCCTTAAAAATTTGACGAATTGTATGTTTTGATATATAATTATATCGGTCAAAAACAATTTGATTATCGATAAAGTAAGTCAAAAATGCATCCATTTAATCAGTATAATCCAATTTTTCAATACTTGAAAAAATTCTATCAAATTATATTTTTCATCATACATATGCAGACCTACCAATTTTTGGTACCAGGTCCCTATTGGATCCGATGTGGAATTAGCTCAGATTCCATGTAATGACGACAGTAGACATGGTCCGGATGATTACAAATCAATAAATTCTAGATCTTGATCAATCGAACCCGGTTCACCAGCCGGAATCAATGGAACTAGGGGCGAAAATTAGCATAGCCAATTACTATATAACATTTTTCATATTTTCGTATTTTTATCACTCATTAATCATTTGTAATTTTTGAATCACTCTAAAATTATTATCATTTGCTAAAAAAATATTTGAATTATTTCTAAAATAAGAATCCCATTCCAAGGTTTTTTTAAAAATAATTTTAGTTATTATTTACAGATTTGCTGTTATCCTGCAAGGTTGAAGGTTATATTAATATATACGTCAGATCACAGCTCAAAAGACATGAATTGGAAAAGGCTGGGCTTATATCTATTGAATTTGCGGAATTATGTCAGGCTTATGATGAAGAATTAAATGTATCAGAACATTTAGCATCACGCAAAGACAAATATTATAAGAGTGCATCCTATACGATTGTAGATAATGATGATAACGATCAAATTGATGTAAAATTGAAGGTTGGTTATGTTATAGATGTTTTGGAAGATTTATAAACTATGGAACTTCTCAAGAAACAACTACTAGAGTATCTTACACGCACAAATTAGAACAATATTTTTACATAGTACTAAAGGAAATTAACAAGTACCATTTCTTTTTTTAGATTGGTTTGTTGCTCAATATACTATATACTATTGAGAAGTGCCCTATATATAAATTACAGTATCCATCAGATTATACATGGAGGCGTATTTATGCAATAAAATGGCTTGATCATCAACTGAACATTCATTTCGTACATCAGCATTCTCAGGATAATATATACTATATTTATAAATTATATTATGCAGTCTGAATAATATAGTTTCAATGTAATTGCAAAAGTGTATTAATAAAATTTCAAATTAATTACTAAATTATTTATTATTAAGTACGAAATAATTTCAAAGATATTTCAAAATAATGTTGATACGAAATTATAAGACCTTTCAACATTGTTTCATAATAATATTGTAAATAATAATGAAATGATAGTGAAATGGTTTAAAATAGTAATGAAATCAATTCAAATATTAATATAGTTGGTAATACAATATTTAATTAATAAATCGGTTGATACAGACTTACTATATAAAGAAATTTAATATTGGCAGTTCTTAGTTGAAGTTTCAAGGTATAATGATACAGTGCATACAACCTAGTCCCAACAAAAAAATTTTTAAGCGGCCAAATTTTTTACATTATGTAATACTAATCCTGTAATTTTATTGGTCAAATTTATTTAATTTAAGTTATAATTCTTAATTCTAGCCAAATTTACATAGTTAATAATTAAACGAAAGTAATTTTGGCCAGACTTACATGTAATTCTGGTCAGAAT